ACCAAAGCCCTAGTCAACAATCAGAAACTAGAGGACAAGAGATGAATTAAAACCACGATGGAGACCGAACCAAGAGACATCAATAACGCTAGAACATTTTGTAAGAAAAAGCTAAAATATAGGAACTGGGTTTTGAAAATTGAACGTAAAAACCTCAGATACCCAATTCCCAGATTGCAAAAAGCAATGTTTTGGAAGTTAAGAAAGGGGAAACAGAGACCCTATGCGTACCTTCAAAGAGCAACCTAAGAGAGAATAAGAGAGAGAGAGTAACACACTGAACTTACACAAAGGGAGCTCTGGTTATATATATATATATGGAGAGAGAGAGAGAGAGAGAAGAAGAGAAGAGGAAAGGAACTTTCAAGGAAGAGGCCATTAAAGGTGCTCAAAGCTTTGAAAAAGGTTAACGGAGATAATAATACAGACAAAATTTAGTCTCTCTCTCTCTCTCTCTCTCTCTCTCTCTCTCTCTCTATTTTGAAAAATCGAAACTCCAACAACACTCATCCACGAACGTCAACGAAGATCATCGGTGCTCTGTTTTACTCTTATCAGCGGCTGCGTCTTCGGCCACTAGGCTTCTGTAACAGAGAACCGTTTGACAAGTGTACCCGATTGTCATATCATTGAAAATCATGATTCGTCATATCTGGTTAACAACAGGTTGTAATTTCCTTAATCTAATTTCTAATATCGCACTAAGCACGCCATAATTGTTATGTTATTATATCATATTGTTTGACGAAATTCTGGTTTGAATCTGGAAACCAAGTCCAAAAACAGATTTGTTCTGTTTTTATTTTCAATGCTTTAAATTTATTTTAACAAAAATTATTTTAATTCTTAAAAGGTCTTCATTTTTCTCAAAAATATAGACGACGATAAAAGAGTTACATATATCTATATATGTATACGCGTAAGATACTAACTCCATTCAACGACAAATATATACGCCCAAAAATATTTTTAATTGCTTTTTCCTTAAAAATTATTAGAAATACTTGGACTTCTCTTCTCAAATCTCATTTATTCTTGAAAAAAAATATATTCTGATTTGGAACATTTCTGCTCCGATGAGCAACAAATCAAAAATAAATTGGTCAAAAAGCCACCGTCATCCCTCGAACCGCGCCGTTTCTGTCAAGAAAACAAAACCACCGGCGGCTCCTTGGGAACCAAGTCTCTGCTTGGTCAAAGCTTTGACTGTTATAGCAATTTTTTTTTGTCAAAGTTGGGGAACATGTCTATCCAAAACTAGGCCCCAAGATCCTTGGTTGGTTGGCTGGGGCTAACCGGAGATTTAACCAGATAATGTTTCAGACAATAAAATTGTAATTAAATAATTAATTAATATAAATCAGTATTAACAGACGCCATAATTACTAAAATGACCCATTTAAAAAAAAAATAATTAATATAAAAATAAATAGACTGAGAACCAAATAATTGTCTCATCTTTCAGCAAGTCAAACGGAGACAAAGAAGAGCACTGTTCGTCTGTTGTTAATGGAGCTACATAGGATTTTTCTTTTTTTTTTTTTTTTGGTTCCTACGCATTCATCATATTTGTAAGAAATTATTAAAAAAAAAAAGAAAAAGAAAAGAATGATGCCTTCCACCACTTATAGCCACACAGGAAACGACAACACAGAAAAATTATTGTCACGATTATTATTATTATTCAGTGTATCAGCAGTAAATAATATAATTTGTTGACAGAAGCAAGAAGACCCAGATTACAGAATTGGGAAAACTCCCTCCAAATACAGACTGATTTCAATCCTTTCCATCTAGAAAACCTCTGCACTATCAAACATCTTCCTTTTTCTTCGTACTTTTTTCTCCACAATATATCTTTTACCTTTTAATAATCTTTAAACTAATCTGTGATTGATTGATTGATTGATCGATTGAGACATAAGCACCCACCAAATTCTTTATCCATATACATCCAGGTACATGCATGCGTACGTATATACATATATACATATATGCGCAACTGAAGATTCATCTCTTTCTGCTTTACCTTTTTTCTTTGACCGTCAATCATATGCTTCTTGACCCAGCACCCAAGTTTGAACAAGTAGAAGATACAGACAAAACCGAACAAATGATAATGCTAAGAAAGTAATTAGTAGAGGCTCGATCAGTAATAAATTTTTCAGACGTAACAAGAATAAATTTTCAATTCGTATGTTTATTGAATGCATCAGGAAAAAGAATACAGTCATAATGATGTAAACTGGTAATGAGATTGCCAAATGCTTTTCTGCTGTTCTTCTGTTGAAATCAACTTCTGAAATAACAAAATCTAGCTACATTAAGGTGTCACGGATCAACAAGAAGTGGTGGTGGTGGAGACAAATGTAATATCCCATCGTATACAAATGAAGAAGTAATTTTCTTTGATCATAAAGTTACATCAGATAATAGTGTCGTAATCAGGCAATGAAAGTATATGGAGGATATGCCTATTGAAATCGAGTTGGGTTGCAGCGATTAAAAAGTCTCCGGAGAATTTGCAGATCCGAACAGCTTTCAAGTTCTTGCTGGCTCTCTTGTTTTGATTGCGAAAAACAAATATCCCCCCACCTACATAAAGAAGGAAAAGCATGTGGAATTAAGAATTGTTTGGAGAGGAGGAAGTGGGGGAGAAACCAGCAGCAGCAATGCATAAACAGAGGCAAACCCGAGTTGTTCGTATGTGGCTAAGGGTGTGTTTGGCTAAATGTTTCTACATCTGCATCATTGAAGCTTCACCCTAAACATTAAATAAACGAAAAGATCACAAAAGGATGTTAAGAACAGCAAAAGACCACGAAAAAATTGAGTATAAATGTAAGAAGATTCAGATTCAGAAAAGGGGTCATACAGTCCTACTGTGTCAACTCAAGATGTCTTTCAAGAAACAAGGTCTCTTTTTTTTCACCTCCTTTCCATCTAAATCAATGCTATCATTGTTGATTCTTAAAGTTCTGATGTTATGCAGGTACCGTTGTTGATTCTTAAAGTTCTGCTGTTATGCAGGCACCCAAGCAGAGGAAGCATAGACAATCCGTCCCTTCCAACCCTGCAGCATCCATCCACTATCTTCATCCACCAAAAAGTCATTGTGGTAACCGTCTTTCACCATGCATTTAAATTTCCTTATCAGTTCAGGGTCCAAAGGCAGCTTTGTAAATCCAGCCCTTAAGTTCCGAACCTGCCACTGCCTGTATGTCTCAGGTCTCTCAACTCTCCCATTTCCTTCGCATGCTATTACATTCATAATCTCCCGCCCGTAGAACTCTTTCTCAAACATCAACCTCATCTGATCTGCACGAGGCATATTAATATCACACATATCAAACAATGCAGAGTAGTGAAAGAGTGCTTCCTTGAAACGTGTGACAAAGAAGGGAGTATTATAGGATCCATTAACAATGCCATGGATAAAAATGTTTGGACTTATCTTCCTAATTAAGTTTAAAACAGCATTCCTCGGACTATTCGACACCACTGTTTCATCAAGTAAGTTCCTGAACCGGAACAGACAATTTACAGCAACAAACTCATCAGGATCAAGCTTCAGGTCATCAATTTTGATGGTTTCCCATTTTTGTCCGATGGCAGTGTATTGGAATGGAACATTAAAACGCTCACAATATTTTTCTAAGCGACGCCCTGTCTCCTGTACTCCTTCTGCTGGCCGGAAACCACTTTGTGGAAGCTCTATACCTGTAATTCGTAGTTTGGCAGGTCCCCCGGGTCTTATTGAGAGGCGATGGATGAGGGCAGGCCACTGAAAACCATACGAGATTCCAAAGTCAATGATATGAAGAGCTGTTGCCTTCTCAGCTGCAGACAAAGTAATATGGTTTGCAAATATAATTGCAATCTTCATGAATGGACAGCTTGATATATATGTCTGGTAAGCTTTCAACATAACAACAGCCAAATTTCTTTTGGAAGAAAGAGCAGAGTAAATCTGAGCTCCAGTGCCGGCCAACCGCGCCTCAAGACTATTAGCGAAATAGTGAGCTAGCCTCTGGGATCCATCACCAAAAAATGAAGAGTGCTGCCTAATCTGTTTTAGTAGTTCATTTGCAGTTCTGCTGTCATTAGCAGCGACAGCTTGGGCACACGAAATCAGCAGAGTCCTCAAATCCACAACCTCCTCATTCCTTCCTGATTTCTTAACTTGAGATTTTCCACCATCAGATCCATTTCTCAGTCCATTCTTCTTCAATGTCTTGCTTGATTCATTCTGCACCAGAGCCTTCAGAGCTCCTTGCTCTGAGGAGTAATCAAGAATGCACACTCCAGGCTGCTCATTCCTACCACTAAAAAGCAACACCTTATCAAACATCTCCGATAGATCACTCTCATCTACATAAACAGCTGACTGCTTCTCACCCCGCCCATCTTCAAGATCTTCATCTTCTCGCTTATGACTCTTCTTTCCTATCAACTGATTAGGTGACAGCTTCCTGTCATCCTTCTCTGTCTTGACTACCACATTTGGAGCCTTGTCCTTTAACTCTGCTGCCTGTTTGTAGCTCTCCAAGTCAAAAATCAGCTGATTACCTTTAGGAAGGAACTTACTGGCTTCCTCTACTCCCCTTTGGAACTGCAACACTGAGTGACTCTGATTAAACAAATTGTTAGCCAAAAGCTTACTCACCGATGACCTCACCAATCCATTACCATGATAAGAAACATTATCAGCAGAGTTGAATGATGATTTTTTACCAGAGTTTGCAGTGGACTGAAATACAAAGTTAGTAGGAAATGGTGTTTGTAACCATGATAGCTGATGCTCAACAAGATTACGAGTTGATCTCGAATCAAATGAAGTGCTAGTACTAGGACTAGAATGACTATTGGTACTAGAATCACTGAAACCACTGGAATAACAGTCATCTGGGTCAACAGTTTGATTGCTGTAAATAGGGGGTTGATAGGGGGAAGGTGGATACTTCTCACCGATAACTTCATATAATGATTTCTCAGCTGCTTGAAGGGCCAAAGCATCATGAAACATACAAGGCTTCTCTTCCATGTCCTCCTCCATAAGCACCTGGCTTATGTACTTAAGAACAGTTTCCGAGAAGTCATTATCATCAGAGTGGCAAGAAGAATCACCCTCTATAATCCTGCTCCTGGACGGATCAGAATTTGGAAGCCTTGGATCAGATGGAACACCTATAAACTGTAAATCTAAGGTAGGGTTGTTCTGTTTGAATCCATCTCCTAAATTTTGGCTCTGGTCTGAATTGGGGAAAATAGATTCATTCTCAAATTTGAAACCTTCTATGGAATTTAAGTATTCATTAAACTGGTGATCCATATTGAATTTCTACTTTTCTAATCAACCTCCCTAGACTCCTAATCCTATTAAAAAGAATTTCACAGGAACCCTGGACCTCTATCGGCGTCAATCAAAAACCAGCCACAAAAAGAAAAGAAAGAAAAGAAAAGAGAAACAAAAGATTTTCCTAAACCCCAAAATCCAATTCACAGATTAAAAAACAAACACATAAACGAAATCAAATTTAAAGAAGAGCCGATATCTTTTTTCTTTTTGGAAATAAAGAGTGTGAAGTATATTATGCGGCACAAAGGGGGTGCCAACCCTGTACAAAAAATTTACAAAGAAGTAATAATATTTATGACATTTCCAAAGTCATCCTCCCTATAAATTAAAGAAGACCTGATATCAAAAATCAACTACTTCTCCATCCTCAACAACACTCCATCATCCACAACCAGAAACTAAACCCAATACAGGAACTGATAACACACTGAAAGTAGACAACCCAGAGAAATAAACGTAAAGAAAACCTCAAAACTCGATCACCTCCACTAAAACAAGATTAATACAAGGAATCTTTGATTCAGGAAAACGAAAAGCTACATATACAGGAGAATAGATACGGATTCTGTGGTACTTTTTGAACCTTGGAGAAAGGCAAAGAAGTGGGTAAGTTAGAGGACGCCAAACCTCGTTCTTTGTCTTTTTAAACAATGCTAAAGAATCGGACAGCCTTTATCTTCTTTCATAATCCTGCTTCATGGAAGCATCCTGGAGAAAGATACTGATTCATCAGGTGGAATAAAATATCAAACCCAAAACGCAAGATCGTTTTCTCTCCGGCCTTTGACCAAACCCCTAACTGCTCTTCTTTTCATTGGTCTGTCACCGGCGTCTACTTCTCTTTTACCCTGACTCATTTGTTGTGTAATCACCTGAGGTCTCTGAGTGTCTCCGTGCATTTCGGAGACCGAAAATCAAAGTCAAACGAGTGTGGTCAAGTCAGAACGAGCTGCTCCAGCCAAAAAAAAAACAAGGTTTGTTTGGAGAAATCGTATTTATATTTATTAATTTTTAACATTTTAGATAAGTTTCTTTTTATTAAAAGAAATTGTAATCGATAATATATAAATTGTTATTATCTTAGTTATTTTATTATTTAAATAATTTTATTTGTACCTTTAAAAAAAAATAATAAGTAAATATTATAAATCTATACATATAATTTTTTACCAAATTAATGAGAAAAGATAAACAGAAATCTTCCTACATCCATTGTAAAAAATTGGATTGCATTATGCGGTAAATATTTTCGACTCAACACATCGTCTCAAAAGCTATTTTTCTTTTATAAAGAAATTTAAAAAAAATAAAATAATGCGTGTGTGATTCGGGAACCATATCCGTTTATTTATATCGATGTACTTTTATATTTATAATTTTGTTCATTATAAAATGAAAAATTATAAAAATAATATCCGCACATATTAATTTCATATATAAATTCGATGCATTAAGTCAAATTTCGTTTAACTGTACTCGATTATTTTTAAACGAACTCATAAATTAACAGTTTGTTACGCACGTATTACACCAATATAATATTTAAAGAATTAAATATAATTTTTTTTTGAGTAATAATAACTTTGCCAATAAACTTTGTTCTAAAGTCTAATAGGGTATTAAATTCCTTATATACAGTGTGAAATTATGATGTCTTGATTAAGACAAAGACACAGACAACACCTGAATTTCTATTTAATTACTTTGTTTATAACTAAACATGTTCATTAAATTTATTTATAATTAGCAAGTTGTAGTTTTTTTTTTTTTTTTTTTTTTACTCCTTTTGACAATCTGATACTTGGGGAACAAGAATTAGAAGTGCTAATCCACATGCTTAATATATATAATTTAATACAAAATTGTAGGACAAATAAAAATGTTGTTTGGAGAGTAGTAAAGCGAGAAACCAACAGCAGCAATGCATAAACAGAGGCAAAACCAAAATGTTTCTGCATCATTGACGCTTCAAAATCTAGGTATTACAGTTCAACAAGAACTTGTGGAGGACACAAATGTAAACTCTTATTGCATACAAATGAAGAAGTAATTTGCTTTGATCTCAAAGTTACATCACATAATAGTGTTGTGATCAGGCAAATGAAAGCATGTTGGAGAACCCAGATGATGCGGAGAATATGCTTTCATTGAAATCGAGTTGGGTGCTCTATTGCAGCGATTAAAAAGTCTCCAGAGAACTTGCAGATCTGAACAGCTTCCAAGTCCCAGACTGCTCTCTCGGTTAGATTACTAAAAACTAATATCCCCACCTATAAAGAAAGAAAAGCATGTGCAATTAAGTATTGTTTGGAGAGGAGTATGTGGGGGAGAAACCAACAGCAGCAATGCATAAACAGTCATATGTGGCTAAGGGTGTGTTTGGCTAAATGTTTCTGCGTCTGCATCATTGAAGCTTCACCCTAAACATTAAATAAAGGAAAAGATCACAAAAGGATGCTAAGAACGCTGAAGACCATGAAAAAGTAGAGTCTATATGTAAGAAGATTCAGATTCAGAGAATGAGTCATGAGGGCTTACTGTGTCAACTCAAGATGATGCTGTATACAACGAATGTCTTTCAAGAAACAAAATCCCTTTTTTTTCTCTTCCTCTCCATCTAAAACCAACATGGCCCTTGTTGATTTTTAAAGTTCCGATGCTATGCAGGTATCCAAGCAGAGGAAGCACAGACAACACGTCCCTTCCAACCCTGCAGCATCCATCCACCATCTTCATCCACCATAAAATCATTGTGGTAACCGTCTTTCACCTTGCATTTAAATTTCCTCATCAGTTCAGGGTCCAAAGTCAGCTGTCTAAATCCAGCTCGTAAATTCCGACCCTGCCACTGCTTGTATGTCTCGGGTCTCTCAACCCTCCCATTTCCTTCGCATGCTATTACATTCATAATCTCCCGCCCATAGAACTCTTTCTCAAACATCAACCTCATCTCATCTTCACGAGGCATATTAGTATCACACATATCAAACAGTACAGAGTAGTAAGAGAGTGCCTCCTTGAAACGTGTGACAAAGAAGGGGGTATTATAGGATCCATTAACAATAGCTTGGATAAAAATGTTTGGACTTATCTTCCTAATTAAGTTTAGAACAGCATTCCTTGGACTATCCAACGCCACTGTCTCATCAAGCAAGTTCCTGAACCCGAACAGACAATTTACAGCAACAAAATCATCAGGATTAAGCTTCAGGTCATTGATTTGATGGTTTCCCATTTTGTCCAATGGCAGTGTATTCGAATGGAACATTAAAACGCTCACAATATTTTCTAAGCGACGCCCTGTCTCCTGTACTCCTTTCGCTGGCCAGAAACCACTTTGTGGAAAGCTCTATCCCCGTTATCCGTAGTTTGGGAGGTCCCCCCGGTCTCATTGAGAGGCGATGGATGAGGGCAGGCCACTTATAACCATAAGAGATTCCAAAGTCAATGATATGAAGAGTTGTTGCTTTCTCAGCTGCGGACAAAATAGTATGGTTTGCAAATATAATTGCAATCTTCATAAATGGACAGCTTGATATATATGTCTGGTAAGCTTTCAACATAAGAACAGCCGAATTTCTTTTGGAAGAAAGAGCAGTGTAAATCTGAGTTCCAGTGCCGGCCAATCGTGCCTCAAGACTATTAGCGAAATAGTGAGCGAGCCTCTGGGATCCATCACCAACAGATGAAGAATGCTGGCTAATCTGTTTTAGTAGTTCATTTGCAGCCCTGCGATCATTAGCAGCCACAGCATGGGAACACAAAATCAGCAGAGTCCTCAAATCCACAACCTCCTCGTTCCTTCCTGATTTCTTACCTCGAGATTTTCCACCACCAGATCCATTTGTCAGTCCATTCTTCTGCAATGTCTTGCTCGAGTCATTCTGCACCAGAGTCTTCGGAACTCCTTGATTTGGGGAGTAATGAAGAAAGCACGCTCTAGGCTGCTCATTTCCACCACCAAAAAGCAACAACTTATCAAACATCTCTGATAGCTCACTCTCATCTGCATAAACAGCTGACTGTTTGCTGCTCCGCCCATCTTCAAGATCTTCATCTTCTCGCTCATGACTCTTCTTTCCTATCACCTGATTAGGTGACAGCTCCCTTTCGTATTGTTCTGTCTCGATTACCACGTTTGGAGCCTTGTCCTTTGACTCTGCTGCTGGTCTGTAGCCCTCCAAGTCAATAATCAGCTGATTACCTTTAGGAAGGAACTTACTACCTTCCTCTACCCCCCTTTGGAACTGCAACATTGAGTCACTCTCATTAAACAAATTTTTATCCAAAAGCTCATTCACAGACGATGCCACCAACCCATTACCATGATAAGAAACATTATCAGCAGAGTTGAACGATGACTCTTGACTAGAGTTAGCAGCGGACCCAAATACAAAGTTAGGAGGAACTGGTGTTTGTAACCAGGATGGCTGATGCTCGACAAGATTACCTGTCGATTGGGAATCGAAGGAAGTGCTAGTGCTAGGACTAGAATGACAGTTGGTACTAGAATCACTGAAACCACTGGAATAACAGTCATCTGGGCTATCAACGGTTTGATTGCCGTAAATATGGGGTTGATCAGGCGAAGGTGGGTACTTCTCACCGATTACTTCATATAATGATTTCTCAGCTGCTTGAAGGGCCAAAGCATCATGAAACATACAGGGTTTCTCTTCAATGTCCTCATCCATAAGCACCTCGCTTATGTACTTAAGAACAGTTTCACTGTCAAATGTGAAACCCTCCATGGAATTGAAGTATCCATTAAACTGGGGATCCATATTGGATTTCTACTTTTCTAATTAACCTTCCAAGACTCCAAACCCTATTAAAAAGAATTTCACAGGAACCTTGAACCTCTGTTAGCTTCAAATTAAAAACCACCCACAAAAAAAAAAAGAGAAAAGAAAGAAAGAAAGAAAGGAGCAACAGCTTTTCCTAAACCTTAACACCTAATTCACAGATTAAATGGAATCAAATTTAAAGAGAACAAGACATCAAAAACATTCCATCATCCACAACCAGAAACTAAAACCAATACACGAACTGACAACACACTGAGAATAGACAACCCAGAGAAATAAACTTAAAGAAAACCTCAAAACTCGATAACTTCCACTGAAACAAGGTGAATAGAAGGAATCTGTGACACAAGAAAACGAAGAGCTACGTATAACACAGATTCTCCGCTACTTTTTGAACCCTGGAGAAAGGCAAGGAAGCGGGTTAGTTAAAGGACCAAGACAGAGTTACCTCGTTCTTTTGTCCTTTCTTAACAAGGCTGAAGAATTGGAGAGCCTGTCTTCTTTCAAGATTCTGCTTCATGGAAGCATCCTGGAGAAAGATACACCTTTATCAGGTGGAGAAAAATATCAGACCCAAAAAGCAAGATCGTATCTCTCCGGCGTTGATCACAGTCCTAAATACTCTTCTTTAATTGGTCTATTATCTGTTCCCGTCACCGGCGTTTCCTTCTCTTTCACCCTGACTCATCCATTTTCCAGTCACTTCGGAACCCAACCAGTGTAGTGTAGTGCGTCCTCTTTGCAAACGTCGCCTTTTATCAACTGATGAATTCACGTGTTAAAAATTTTAGACACGACACGGCTTCGTAGTGTGAAATCGGCGCCAGCCGAAGGGAAAAAAAAAACGCATGTTTGGAGAATATCGTATTTTATATTTATTAATTTTTTTATTTTAGAAGTAATAGAAAAACAATTTAATAAAACTAATAATAGCAGTAATGTGAATCGTATTTATATTTATTAATTTTTTAAAACATTTTAAGATAAATTTCTTTTGATTAAAAAGAAATTGTTATCGGTAATATCTAAATAGTAGTAAACATAAAATATACAGAACTACAATAAAAAAGCTTCTTATTTTAAATGTATTTTGCTTATCTTAATTATTTTATTATTTAAATAATTTTTTCCGCACCTTTTAAAAAAATAATAACTAAATATTATACCAATATGGTATTTAAATAATTAAATATAATTTTTCGACTAATAATAACTTTGCCAATAAACTTTGTTCTAAAGACTAATAGGGAATTAAATTCCTTATATACAGTGTGAAATTTGTTCAATATTCAACGGAAAGAAAAAAACAACTTTTTATTTCAGAAATTAAAAAAAAAACAATTTAAGGAATCTAATAATAACAGTAATATAAATTCATATGTTTATTGAATGCATCGGTAAAAAGAATACAATCATAACGATGTAAACTGATAATGAGATTGCCAAATGCTTTTCTGCTGTTCTTCGGTTGAAATCAACTTCTGAAATAACAAAATCTAGCTACATTAAGGTGTCACAGATCAACAAGAACTGGAGGAGGAGACAAATGTAATATCCCATCGTATACAAATGAAGAAGTAATTTTCTTTGATCATAAAGTTACATCGGATAATAGTGTTGTAATCAGGCAACGAAAGCATGTTGGAGAACCCAGATGATGTGGAAGATATGCCTATTGAAATCGAGTTGGGTTGCAGCAATTAAAAAGTCTCCGGAGAAGTTGCAGATCCGAACAGCTTTCAAGTTCCTGCCGGCTCTCTTGGTTTGATTGCGAAAAACAAATATCCCCCACCTATATAAAGAAGGAAAAGCATGTGGAATTAAGAATTGTTTGGAGAGGAGGAATTGGGGCAGAAACGAGCAGCAGTAAATGCATAAACGGAGGCAAACCCAAGAAGTTCATATGTGGCTAAGGGTGTGTTTGGCTAAATGTTTTTGCATCTGCATCATTGACGCTTCACCCTAAACGTTAAATAGATGAAAAGATCACAAAAGGATGTTAAGAACAGTTGGAGACCACAAAAAAAATAGAGTCAATGTAATAAGATTCAGATTCAGAGAAAGGTTCATGCAGTCTTACTGTGTCAACCCAAGATGATGCTGCATTCTACAAATGTCTTTCAAGAAACAAAATCCCATTTTTTATTCCCCTCTCCTTTTAAAACAAATGATGCCCTTGTTGATTTTAGAGTTCTGATGTTATGCAGGTACCCAAGCGGAGGAAGCATAGACAATCCTTCCCTTCCAACCCTGCAGCATCCATCCACTATCTTCATCCACCATAAAATCATTGTGGAAACTGTCTTTCACCTTGCATTTAAATTTCCTAATCAGTTCAGGGTCCAAAGGCAGCTGTCTAAATCCAGCCCTTGAGTTCCGAACCTGCCACTGCTTATATGTCTCGGGTCTCTCAACCCTCCCAGTTCCTTCGCATGCCAGTACACTCATAATCTCCCGCCCGTAGAACTCTTTCTCAAACATCAACCTCATCTCATCTTCACGAGGCATATTAGTATCACACATATCAAAGAGTGCAGAGTAGTGAAAGAGTGCTTCCTTGAAACGTGTAACAAAGAAGGGGGTATTATAGGATCCATTAACAATGGCTTGGATAAAAATGTTTGGACTTATCTTCCTAATTAAGTTTAGAACAGCATTCCTTGGACTATCCAACACCACTGTCTCATCAAGTAAGTTCCTGAACCGGAACAAACAATTTACAGCAACAAACTCATCAGGATTAAGCTTCAGGTCATTGATTTTGATGGTTTCCCATTTTTGTCCAATGGCAGTGTATTCGAATGGAACATTAAAACGCTCACAATACTTTTCTAAGTGACGCCCTGTCTCCTGTACTCCTTTTGCTGGCCTGAAACCACTTTGTGGAAGCTCTATCCCCGTTATCCGTAGTTTGGGAGGTCCCCCGGGCCTCATTGAGAGGCGATGGATGAGGGCAGGCCACTGAAAACCATACGAGATTCCAAAGTCAATGATATGAAGAGCTGTTGCTTTCTCAGCTGCGGACAAAATAGTATGGTTTGCAAATATAATTGCAATCTTCATGAATGGACAGATTGATATATATGTCTGGTAAGCTTTCAACATAACAGCAGACGAATTTCTTTTGGAAGAAAGAGCGGTGTAAATCTGAGTTCCAGTGCCAGCTAACCGTGCCTCGAGACTATTTGCAAAATAGTGAGCTAGCCTCTGGGATCCATCACCAAAAGACGACGAGTGCTGCCTAATCTGTTTTAGTAGTTCATTCGCAGTCCTGCTATCATTAGCAGAGACAGCTTGGGCACACAAAATCAGCAGAGTCCTCAAATCCACAACCTCCTTCTTCTTTCCCAATTTCTTACCACGAGATTTTCCACCACCAGATCCATTTGTCAGTCCATTCTTCTGCAATGGCTTGCTTGATTCATTCTGCACCAGAGTCGTCAGAGCTCCTTGCTCCCGGGAGTAATCTAGTATGCACGCTCCAGGCTGCTCATTTCCACCACCATAAAGCAACACCTTATCAAACATCTCCGATAGCTCACTCTCGTCTCCATAAACAGCTGACTGTTTGTTACTCCGCCCATCTTCAAGATCTTCATCTTCTCGCTCATGACTCTTCTTTCCTATCAACTGATTAGGTGACAGCTCCGTGTCGTGTTTCTCTGTCTTTACTACCACATTTGGAGCCTTGTCCTTCGACTCTGCTGATGGTTTGTAGCTCTCCAAGTCAATAATCAACTGATTACCTTTAGGAAGGAACTTACTAGCTTCCTCTACCCCCCTTTGGAACTGCAACATTGAATCACTCTCATTAAACAAATTTTTATCCAAAAGCTCACTCATAGATGACCTCACCAATCCATTACCATGATAAAAAACATTATCAGCAGAGTTGAATGATGATTTTTTACCAGAGTTTGAAGTAGACTGAAAAACAAAGTTAGTAGGAACTGGAGTTTGTAACCAGGAGAGCTGATGCTCGACAAGATTACCACTTGAGTGGGAATCAAAGGAAGTGCTAGTACTAGGACTAGAATGACTATTGGTACTAGAATCACTGAAACCACTGGAACAACAGTCATCTGGGCTATCAACAGTTTTATTGCTGTAAATAGGGGGTTGATCGGGCGAAGGTGGGTACTTCTCACCAATAACTTCATATAATGATTTCTCAGCTGCTTGAAGAGCCAAAGCATCATGAAACATACAGGGCTTCTCATCCATGTCCTCCTCCATAAGCACCTGGCTTATGTACTTAAGAACAGTGTCCGAGAAGTCATTGTCATCAGAGGGAGAAGAAGAATCACCGTCAATAATTCTGCTCCAGGCAGAATCAGAATTTGGAAAGCTTGGATCAGGTGGAAGACCTATAGACTGTAAATCTAAGGTAGGGTTGTTCAGTTTGAATCCATTTCCTAAATTTTGGCTCTGGTCTGAATTGGGGAAAATAGATTCATTTTCAAATGTGAAACCCTCCATGGAATTTAAGTATTCATTAAACTGGGGATCCATATTGGATTTTTACTTTTCTAATTAACCTCCCAAGAATCCTAATCCTATTAAAAAAGAAAATTTCACAGGAACCCCGAACCTCTGTTAACTTCAAATCAAAAACCACCCACAGAAAAAATAAAACGAAGCAACAGCGTTTCCTAAACCTTAAAATCCAATTCGCAGATTAAACGAAATCAACTTTAAAGAAAACCCGACATCAAAAATCAACTTCTTCTCCATCCTCAACCACGCTCCATCATCCACAAC